TAGCAATAAAGAAACAGGCAAAATGGAATTACCTTTGAATTAATGGCATCTGAGCAGGTAGCAGTGGAAAAGAGAATGACTTTGGTATACCAACCCAGGAGGCCCAGAGCATAGGAAACATAGCTCCTCTCAGCAGCTCAGACACAAAGGTTTTGGCTTCTGCCTTCCGTGACAGCATCCTACTGAGCACCACGTTATGTCTGGCTCTTCACTCATCCAAAACACTCAAAACCTTATGTTCGGATTGCCTAACTGACGAACTAAAGCACCCAAATATTTAACCAGGTTACTCAACCACAACAACAGATTTCTTTCCCCTAGGAGAAAGAAGTTTTCTAGAATAGGGATTTTTCCTTTGTAGGAGGCTGAAAAGGCCTTCTGTAAGAAATAACGACTTTTGCAGCTTCTGTCTTAAGTGCAAGGCACATTTCTTTGATTTTATCTACTCTGATATCATATACATGGGTAGATGTAGGTGTGTGTATATATCACGTTCGAAGAAAAATCCAGCTTGCTCTAGACACTGGATAGGAGTGGAAAAAGGAGTTCAGTGCCTCTCTTCATACAGTACTGAGGACCATTCAGCTACTACAACAAAAAATGCAGTAAATCAATCAGAAGAGGACATGAAAGGTTCTCAGACAACTTTCCCACCTGACAAGTTTGCTTGCTCTGAATGACCCCAGAATACAATATATTCTGAAGCGTGTGGGAAAAGAGCAGTGAAATGTATTGACACATAGGTGGGAGAAGGCTGTGTCACGCAAGGTGTTACACAGCCTGCAATTTCTTTCTTTTTATAGAGCAAGAACAAAGAAAAATGGGTCTAGCTTATACATCTTAATAGACTGTAGCTCATGGGCTTCCTGCCAAAGGGTTAAGTGCTGCTGTTTGGCCCTTGGTTTCAAAGACAGAAATGGCCATCTTTCAATAGTAGATGTTCCTATGCTAAAGAAGGAGCAGGTGGCTGAAGGGAGAAAAACAATTGTGAATAGAACAGGGAAATAACAGCTGTGATACAATCTTTCTTCTTAGCTGAGCATTTAGTTTGAGGTGGGGTTTCTTTTTTTTTTTTCTTTTCAGTTTTAGTTCTGAGAGGGATTTCTATGGAAGATTGGTTTCAAAGGAAGATATTATTCCACTATGATACACATTTAGATGCATTTATCACCAAGCTTTTGAAGGATTCTAGCAGCATTTTATGAAAAAAAAGTTAACAATTGTTCATGGAAAATATCTGACAGCAAGGTCAAATGAGCGACGAAGGAGGTGACATTTGTCCATTAAGCTCTTCCTACAGCATGAAACTAGTTGACCAAGAAAAGCATATAGCATTTAAGGATTTAGTCATATTTTCTATGGCAATAGTGTACTTTTTTGTGTGCTAAAGAATGGAAATGAATTTTAATGCTTATCAGGCACTTAGGCTATCTTATATGAAACCAGATTTGGCAACTCCTCCTGCAGCTGTTGCAAACAAGTCCAGCCAATCATCAGTACTTGTGTGTTTCATTCATCCCTCTGTAAGAGAAACAGAGAAGCAATAGATTCAGAACATTTTGAAATTCAGTTTTAACAAAGTGGATGATTTTCTTTGCAGAGCCAAGTCTTTTAGTTTGTTGTTGTTGGGTTTTTATAATAATTTCACCAGCGGAATTGGATTGAGATTGCTGCCTTCACAACTACAAAAAGCAAAACAAAACTGTTTTCCAAGCTTCTAACAACTCTGGGTTTCACCAATGTCTTCTAATGGAGAAAAAGTGTGCGTATAGCCCATTTTGAGTTCTGCAACCAAAGCTATCAAAACCACACCTGTGTGTTTTTGTCCCACGTGATCTGGTAGCATGTTCTTAACTCCAAGTGCCACATCAAGTAACAGGAGACTTATCTGGTATATATATATATATATAACTTATTTGTACCAATATGCGAGCAATTCATGGGGTACTCTAAAAGATTGTAATGTAGCGAACAATATTTGTATTAGTTAAAATAATCATGATAATGGATTCTTTATAATTTTTTCCAACTTTCACTATACATTTGGTAAAATCCAGCATTTTGCGTCTGCTTCTACTTCATTGAATTGTCAGTTGGATCTATATGAGGCATGTACAGGAAACTTCTATTCTGATAGGCAGTTATTGACATGTTCTTTAGTTGCAACTGATCATGGCACAAGTTTCAGGAGACATTAATTTTGCGTACTCATTGACCCTTACCACTTCAAAAAAGTGACAAGTGTCTATGTCAAAGTCTACAATCTGATTAACTAGTAGCAATTAAATTGTCAGCTGCATGATAGGCCTGTCTAGTCATCTGCACAGCACTTTCAGGTGCATGCTCTCCTGATAATTCCTCTCTTTGTAGTTATTCAGGTACAGACACTCAGATGCTTAAATATTTCCAAAGCTAACCTATCGTCTCTCACTATAACACATTGAGTGTAAACTGAAGTATGAAATAAATTCTTTAAAACCACCAGAATGTCAACTTGATCTATTTTAATTTTTGGTGTTTTGATTATTTTACCAAAAATCTGTCTCGCTTGCTGCTGTTGTTTTTGCAGCATTGTTTGCTCATCTTAGTTTGGCTTGGTTTGGTTTGGTTTGGTTTTCTGGGAAATTGGTTTGGTTTTCTGGGAAATTGGGCTGAAGACCATATACATGTACATATACATATCACAACTACATAGGAGTAGCAGTAATGGTGCCCAGGAACCACTGATTACTTGATTTTGGAATGAAAATGGTGTCTTAGAAAATCTTGATAGCTGTAACCTTAAAGTAAACTCCTTCAGCCTCAGTGATTTTGTATTTCTGAATGTTTTTGGTTTGGTTTTTTTTCTTATCTGAAGCTGTGATTTTGCCAATTTTCTAATTTATCTTTTTTGTCATCGAAAAATTGTGTGCATCAGTGACATTTTACTGCCTCCTTTTGACTTTAAAAGACGAAATAAACCATAAAGATAAGAAAATCTAAGCCTTTTGAGTGCATGGGCTATTTGCTATGGTACACAAAGGAAAAACGTAAAGAAATACTGAGATGCAGAATAAAACATGTAAACCAAAAAACAGTGCATAAGTAATAAAACATAACTCAACTTTGCCTTTTTTTTCCCCTCATCTGAATCCTTTATTGTTGCTCTAGTGGTATTTGATTGATCTAGTCAAAAGACATCTTCCACCTCTGACAAATCCAGAGAATATCAGCATATGCTCAGATTACACCATACTGACTGACCTACTTGGTCTTGCCTTCAAGTTTAGGCTAAGGTCTGCATTTCTGCTCTGTCAGTTGTGCGAGTGATGCACATTTGTTCTCATCTCTTTCCTCAATCATCCATCTGCAACCTGCAGTAGACTCTATTCCTGTGCTGCTATGATACTGTGATACATATTGCTGTCTCGCTTGTTTCTAGTAATATGTCAAAGATAGAAGACAAATAATTATATATCAAAATAAAGCTCTAATATACCATATCCGTGCTGTCCTAGTCCCATTTGTCCATCATTATGTTACCACTTACTCCCAAAACTGAGAAGATCTTGGACACCTTGCTGACAAATGCAGAAGATAATATAAAGACACAGTTCTGAGCAGTCTGCCCAAACCTTTACGCACTGAATGACAACTGGTTTGTTACTGTAATCTAAGGAAAAATGTGAATGCCATGATGCCACCACTGTCACCTCACTGTTTTCCATTACACTGGCTCTGCTGCCCATCCTGAAATATCTCTGCTTCAGAAAGCTCCCAGGCCTTGCATTTCCTTCATGAGAGGAGAGAAGGAAATTAATAATCTCTTAATGATTATTGAATCTCTCTAAAAGCATTATTCTATTTCTGATAAAGGTGTCGATTGGTAGGTTGGTAGGCAGGTAGTCAACCTGCAGGGTTGACTCTGCAACTATCATGACCTAGCATAATTTGGCTGCAATCAACTGTATTATATTGAGTTACCTTGTGGAGTAATTCATGTGTAGACAGTGTTAGTGGCTCTTCTCAGATTCTCATATTCATATCTACTATAAATATCCTACATAACAACCAATCTTCTCTACTAATTTTCTGCAAATTTTTATTTTCTTTTTTTCTGTGTAAGAAAGACTTACTGGCCTGGGCCTCCATTTCTGCACTTAAGCTCACCAGATCTCTCCAACTGCTTTGAATGTATAATCTAGATCTAAATCATCCATATTTGTGGGAAATTAAAGCCCTTGTCTTTGAGATTGTAGTACAGCTCTCCTTGGTTTTTTTTGTTTTGAATTAAGAAATGTAGCAGTTGGGTTTTAGGAAGGACGCTGGATGAAGCATCCTGGGAAATGAAGTCCTGAAGTACTCCCACACGTGGGCAGTGAAGTACCCATGGTGATTGGCTGTTAAGGTCACATGGTGTGACCTGTTAACCCATATATAAACTGTTGTCTCATTTGAATAAAAAGGATTTGGCCCTGAAACCCCAAGGTAGCTGGGTCTGTATAATTTATTTACTTATTATATTAATAAAGCCATAAAGAAAAGGCAAAATATTTGCTGTAAAAGAAAGGGAGCAGACAGAGGTGTGCTGTAGCCTTTTGTTAAAAATAAAAATAAAAATAAAAAAAAAAAACAAAAAAAAGCCTTAATTATCCACTTAAAAAGAGGTTGTCTGCAAAGAAAGCAGTATTCTTTCTCATTTTTGCCCGAGTGTTAGGTCTAATTGGGATACTTCAGAGCTGGAGACTAATAAGAACCACTAAGGGCTATATTGTTTAAAAGCATAGGCCAAGAAAACATACCTATCTTGGTAAGACATTAAAGATCTTTCAAAATTAGAATTTTATTTAACCTTGGAGTCAAATTTCTCATGGAAAGAGTGAAGTCTTTAGGAGGCTTCTTTGAAAATGGAATTGTTTTCCCCTTCTTTTCCTTTTTATTAATATTAAGGTGTTTTAAATGTGAAAAACCTTTCTTGCATCACTTCCCAACAAAAGGTTGAATCCTTTTTCTGTCTCCAGCCTGGTAAGCACCATCCAGAGAAAATCCCATGCACTGAGAACTGGAAAATTGCTCAGCACTCCCGAGATTTTCTGGTGACATCAGCAGACACCATCAGCCGTGCTGAAAGTGACCATGTTCCCATTAAGCTGCTTCTGAAAGGCTTCTGGGATCTCTGGAGGTAAGCTTTCAACAAGGGCTACAGGAAGAGCAGGTTGCTGGATTAGTGTGGGGAAAGTGTCAGAATATACCAAGTTTTATAAATGAGTTTAAATGTGAGAGATAAGTTGGTACAATAAAAGGTTTAAGTCAAGGCTAACTTTACAGACAGCAATGATTTGAATTTGTTTTGTCTAGATTTGTCTAATCTTCAGCTGTGAATATTTCTTCTTTCTTCATTTTCAGATAGTCACGTAGTTCTTGCCATATATTTCAATATGCATTCATCTACTTCACTTTTTTTTCCCTGTAGGCAACTTGGTTTGGTTTCAGTTGGTTTGGTTGCTTCACTGACAGGAGCAGCAGCAGTGCTTTCAGGAGTTTCTAGGTATCCCTTGAACAAAACCTGTCACTATACAAAACAAAGAATTAAGATCCTTTCCGTATCTCACATTTAGTTCCCATCCCTTTTTAACGTTGCTAAGCAGTCTCTTCCAGTGATGCTGTATCTTTGAAATTCATTAAGATGCTTCTACAATGTAAATTTGTTCTTATCGGGAAAGCTAGAGAGTATATAAAATGGAAAAGCCTCTGAAAAGCCTCAGGAAATCTCTGCCTACAAAGTATTCATACCATTTCTCTCATTGTGAAATGCCCTACTCTGAGTTGATGACTATAGTATTAGTATTAGTACCAGGAAATAGCACACAAATGCTTCTGACAAAATTGATAGGTTTTCCTTTTTTTTTTTTTTCCTTTTTTATTTGAGAAGGGGATTAGATTTTCAGAATTTAATTTTCAGATTTTCAGAATTTATTTTTGCCTTACTTCTATACCTTCCAGCTTGCATGGAAGAGAAATTAAGACACAAGAAAAGATATTAAGGTATTTAGGATAAGAACTGTGTTTTACAGGGAATTCATACAGTGAATAACACAATAGAGATAATTAATTGAGACCTCCAGGTGCTACTGTGTTATAAACACTCATTTACTGAGCATACTAATTTAGTCTCTTCAATGGACTGTGGATGTCTCTTGTACAGACATGTGGAACATAATGAGAACATTGATGCATCACTCCCTAAATGTTACACTATGCTATAGTTTTGGGGAAAGGTATATAGGAATTTTTAGTGCATTTCTAGTGCAGAAGGAGATTTCCTTTCTTATCAATGTCTACCTCTCTTCTACAGTATTGACTAGGAAACATCATTTAAGTTGTATTATGGATTCCCTAGTACCTCCATTTCCTGACCCGCAATGCGTATATCTGGTGGACACAAGTGTGACAATGACGTGTAATACACAAAGGAGAAGCGTTCCCTTTAAATTTCCTGCAGTGTGACTCTTGAGTAAATTTGGAGGCTGTTCTGTTTATATAGGTGAGAGAGGGAAAAAACTGCCTGAAAATACTGTGATAATGGAAAAGCTAACACCAAAAAGAAGTATTTAGAGATATTTTTTTAAAAAATATTACATTTAGCACACAAAATTTGCTATACTTACAGTGCCAAATACTGTAGGCTAGTAAGAGCAGATGTGGATGGCAAGAGAGTTGGAGCTGGTGATCTGATTCCTGGACTATATGTATTTTAGGATGTTTTTTCTTCTGACCAGCCCTGGACTGTTTGCACAGACTGAATTCCCTCTCACATCTGAAGTGTATTTCTTTTGCTGCTAAAGTTTCTTGTTCAATTCAAGTATTCCAGTTCAATCTCATCCCAAAAGAATCCAGTTCATGTTCTTTGAGACCAGTATATGATGCAAACCAAAAGATAGCACAGGGACCAAATTAAAACCCTAGGTAGGTATATCAGATCTGATTGCGTTCACCTTAATGTGCAAGTTGCAGTGTTAATTATTATTTTAGTATTGTTTAATGGGGTTTATGTGGCAAGGTTTTGACACCAGAGGGACTGCAAGGATGACCTCTGTGGGAGGAGGTTATGGGCTACCCTGTGGCAAACACAGCCAGTTACATCTGGCTCCACAATAGACAAAATGGAAATTGGTAACAAATAGATTAATTAATGAGTCTGTTTTGCCCATGAAGGTAATTGGTAAGTGATATTCCTATCTTTATCTGACCCATGAGCTTTCTTATCCTTTTTTCTCCTTCTGCCCCCCTGAGAAGGAGGAGTGAGTGAGCAGCTGGGTGTGCAATTTGGCAGTTTGCAAAAGCTAGCCTACCATAATTACCTATAATTATTCTGTCTCATCTGCAGTGAGCAAAATACAGAGAAAAACAATAGGGAAGAAGAAATGAAAGGTAGGTAGTTCTCTGCTAAGAAGGATAGATATGTTTTAAAAGCCTTTACATTTTAATATGTAAGCTAAAGATGTGACATCCAAAAGAATGATCATCTTACTCAATAGACAGTCACAATGCAAGAGTGTTTTACTCCGACATTTAAAGCAAAGTTTCAAATAGGCCTCTTGGAGTGGTAACCAGGAAAGAAACTTGTTGGCGTAGCTATGTAATGACATTATCTTAGATATGAAGTCATGTGTTGTGTTACCTTTCGCTCTAGCATGAAGCAACTGCCACCCTTGGTAGGTACTTTAGATTTCTGAGTCTTCTCCTTTTCAGTAGTACAGAGGTGACTGCTACCTTATCAGCTTCTTTCTCCTCCAAACAAATAGCTGCAGTGTTGCAGTCTTACTAAATACCACTGTCTTTGCATCTCCCGCTCCACTGCTCATGTAATTCAGCCTCTGCCACCTTTGGGGGCCAGGTCTTTCATCTGTCAGGAACCACTCTAGCTTTATAGGAGCTGGACAGCTGTGTTGGGCACTAAAGACTCCATAGTTATTAAAGACCTTGAGGATAAGAAAGAAGCATTCCAGCACTTAGTCAAGAATCAGATGGGGAGGACACAGGTGTTCCACAGTTAGAGACTCAGGAGACGTACCTTAGAGCCAGACCTTTCTCACACCAGATGTGATCCATCAGTCTTTGTTCAGTGGGACATTAAGGAAGACCTCGATCCCCAAAGGATGTCATTAGGAGTGAGTGAAACACAGATGGGTGTTAGAGCCTGAGAGTCAGGTCCAGAAGAAAGCATCTAGTTTGTGCCCCAAGGATGGTGCAGGAGGGCTGGCTAGGAAATCCATGCTGGAATATTGTTGTGAAGATGGTACTCAAAGACCTGTGTCCTTGCAGGCCTACAAGCCAGACTTTTTTCATGGATCAAGAACAAAGATCAGGAGATTTCACTGAGTCTGTTAGTGAGAGAAGATTTCTAGTGAAGGTCCACAAAGCTGCCAGATGGTCAGGATCACTTTGAATTACTTCAACACACTCTTCCCTTCTCCAAGAAGCTCTGTCAGAGATGCAGCCACCCTCAGGCCGAGTGCACTGAGCAAATGACAATACATTTGACACTCACTGTGTAGCAAGAACATATGACTGATTGCCTCCTTCTGTTACTCTGACATTGACAGTGGCTTTCTTCTTTCAAAGCTGCTGCCTTGCCAGTGCTGGAACTGGGCTTCTAAGAGAAGACTCCAGCTATAATCTGGTCATATGGGGCAATTTCCTAAAGGCCTGTCACTGGTTTAAGCAGGATGTTTCCCACTCAGGGACACTATAGTGATTGTTGATGGCAAAACAGAGAAAGAACCAAGAGACCTCCAACTCCCAGTGTGTCATCCAAAGCACAGAAACAATCAAGTGCTTAAAATGACTGTCACGGACCTGCTCCACATTTCTGCAAATAGCAGGCTCCTTAGCACCATATTTTGTATACATGCTAATAGGCTGAGGCAGACAAGGCTCCTGGGACAAGTCAGATTAGAACATATATCTGCTAGGAGAACCTATCAGACAGATAGAGGACACAGACTGTAGGATAGCTGGAGAGGTCAAGTTGCCTCAAGTGAAGCACAGAGGGGGCACAGCTAATGAGAGCCAGAGATGGGTTAAGGCAATGCAGATGTAACTGTCTCAAGCTGCTTAGCTGGCAAAGCTGGATATGAACTTGGCACTGCTGCTGAAGTAGCAGTATAGAATTGGCCTACAGTGCTCTAGGGAGCTTCTGCAATTGAACTGAAAGGGAATGGTGAGTGGGATTTGAGCAGATTTTTCTGTTTTATGCCTTCTCTAGAGAATGCTCCATCATCCCTGCCAGAGCTGGTTTATACCTGTGTTTCATAGCAATATACGAGGAAAGAAAATGCTGCTGATTGCAGCACTTGGCAAGTAAGTTCTAAATACTTCCCAGAGAAGAAAATCCCCAGGTCCTTTTAGGATGTCTTCCCTTGCATTTAAGGGTACCCTAAGATGAATACAGTGCAAAGATAGTTACAAGAACTGTTAACAGTTTCAGAGAATGCATCTAATCTAAGTTTGTTTAGCAAGTGAAATGTCCTCACCCTTGGTTACAAATGTAAGAAATGCGTGTTTTAAACAGGCACAAAATCAAATAGATTCTACAGTCTCTGAGACCTTTGTCTGAGATATAGATCTTATTTAATGGATCAAGGGCAAATTTTTTGTAGGAACCTCTCTTTCACAGATGGTTTGCAGCAAGCTGGCAACAGTCTGGGCCCTAGACACTACCCATCGCCAGGAATTCCAGGCATCCCTATAGAAAATCTGACTTCCAACACAGTCCCTCTCTCCTTGCCCACTTAAAACAGGAGGCAGTCCGCAGTTAATTTCTCTGGTTTGTTTCCTCTTAGATGAAGATAAGACCCAAAGAATACAGAATTTAGTTTGGGAATTTACTTGGTCCCCTGAAGAAGATTTTGTTCCAATCCCTTCCCTAACCTTTCCCTCTTGCTCCTGTTTGTGTATTTGTAGTCAGGTGCATGTTGCTCCTCTGTGTCCTCCAGTCCAGCGTCTGGTCATCTACGGTGGGGTGGGGGAGAAATTCAAGGATTTTCACTTAAGGCACCTTAATGATCCAGAGAAGCTGAGTGGGAAATGACCTGAACTCCCTCTGTAGTTAGAGAGAGATGCTCCCATGGAGAGCAATTCAGGTCACCTTGTTTGGGCTCTTGCTCTGAATTACCCTTTGGAGGAGTCTATCTATCTTCATTAATTACACAGGGAATCTAGGAAGCCAATCATGCTAATGTAAGTGCTAAAGTTTGGTGCTTGAAGTGAGGCACTATGAAAACCTCCCTTCTATGAGCTCCTGAAATCTCATGTGCCACTGCTGAAAATATATGTCTTCTCTTGTTAGGGGAGAAAATTCAGGGTGAATTTTCAACCTTTTTTATTGCACTTGACTTTAAAAAAAAAAAAAAAACACAAAAAACCACTGTCACCTTTTTCAAAATACTTTCCTGAAAGAAAAAGAATATATAGCTTTCCCACACATTCATGGTAATATGCAAAATCACTGCTAATAATGAGGACATCACAGCTTCATTCCTGTCATTGCCTTTCATTATCCTATGTGTCTTTCATAGTTACTCTGCTTGTCATATATATTTTTTATTAACACAGAAAGGCATTAAAATGAAATTTCCTCATCTATTTGTTTCTTTCCTAATTGCACACTACTTAATACTCAGAGAAATTCAGCAATGGCTGGCTTGATTTTCCTCAGTTGCATAGATGCAGGAGTTTAGTTATTTTGTTGGTTTTATTTATGTGAACTTTGTGCAGTCTTTCTTTCCACTTTTTATCTATTAGCTGTTTATACCTTCTCTTTCCTTAGCATGCATTTAATCTTGTGATGGATTTTTAGTTTCAATATTTTGAAAAGAGTTTTTTCTCTGAAAGGAGATGTATTATGTATGGCATTTCTTAAACTATCTACAGACACTCTGATTTAACTGTATTTAAAATAATTCTGCTTTCTTCATGAATTTGCTGTTAGAAACAATTGCCTTCAAGGTCTCTGTATAATTAACAGAATTTTATCCAGTATGGAAGGCTAATGCACTAATATATAAATAGAAAAACATTAGTTTCATCCCTCTCCCTGATCTTTGGTCTAAAAGGTAAGGGACCTCTTTTGCTCTTCTTTGTCTGAACTGGCTCTTAAGGCTGAAAATGGATCATTTAACAACCACTTTCATGACTTTACAGATACATTTATAATAAGGTTGGCACATCACCTTGGTGCCTCATCCATCTTGACATTTTTCCTCCAAAGATGGTAAATGAGCCAGAAGCATTTAAGGAACATTTTCCTAGACAGTCTAAGAAAGCTTTGTACAGTATTCCTAGTACTCAGTGAGATTTGTGACCTTGATTTCAGTGGCGTTTTGGACCAAAATGGATCTCTTAGCTTTAGAGTTAGCAGAGTAATATATTTGGGAAACATGACCTCATCTAGCTCATGGTTTGTTTTGGGATTTTTAGGAAGGAAAATTTAATGCAAGATATGTTGTAGTTTGATATCAGAATAATAATAAAGAATTAGTAAATGAGAGATGCTTGAGCAAAGGTAGGACTGACAGGCCTTTACAGTCCTTCCTGTAATATAGTAGAAACCTAATGTCATGCACAGGCCTAAGTGTCAGGCATTTTTTGATACAAAAACTGGATTCTAAGATGCTAATGCTGGTTGGCCTTACTAGGACTAGTGTAATCATCCTGGGTAATCATCCCACAACTATTGATTTGCATGAAGGTTGTCTTTAGGTATTGTTCCATATGACTAGTTAGATTTATACGATGCTCCTATACAAGTGCACTGCTGTGTTAATAGAAAAATTCAGACTATTGTAAAGTTAGACCTAGATTTAAAAAAAGATAACTGTTGCAATGATGTGAGAAGTGCAAAAGCAGCAAATCTGTTACCATAAATACACAATGAAAATAGAGTTTATAAGTGTAGTGTCTCCTTACAAAAGACTGTAGGGTAAACATATCAGAGTTATTTTGTGTTCTTATTTCCACCCTCAGAAAGTCTCATGCCCTCAGAAATTCCTCTGCCCTCATTTTTATGGAACTGAAAAATGGAGGCTTTACATAAGGATCTGAAAATTTAGTTTAGACTCTTATCTTTTAGAAATTTTATTTCATAAAGCAAACCACCCTTTTTTAAGTACAACACATAGATAAAATTCTATCAGTTAGTGAGAAATTATATTTTTGTTTAATATTTTAGCAAAAATACAGCATAAGTGGGAATTTGTGATAAGCTAAAAAACTTACATTTTGCTAGATAATAGTGTTTATAGCAAATTTATTTGTACAAAATTTGTTTTAAAGAGGGTAAAGGAAACCTATGGATTTTCTGTGTTAGAAAATTAAAAATATCAGCAGTATCTAAATATCTGATCCTTCAGGAATCCTCTCAGGAAAATTAATTACAGGAAATTAGGTAGATGACAGAAAATGTAATTGTGATTGACTTTTATCTGGTTATTGTTTAAAGAAAATAAACATAAATTATTGATCAATTTTAGCTTTTTCTGTCATATTTGCTGCTCTGAGTCTTAGATAAAAAAAGGATCTCATTACATTAAAAAGTCATCCCATTGGAGGATCAGTTGGAGAACATAGGCATAGCACTCATATGTAATGCAGTCAACAAGACCAAATATATTTAAATGAACTGAAGATATGGTCATGGCCTCTGTTGTGTATTATCATATAACCCATAAAATGAGGCAACCAGAATACATTTCAATTCACATGTCTCAATTGTTTTATAATAGAAAATTTTGTGGCCGCATAATTAATATTTTAAGACGCTGAGTAGGAAAACATTATCTCATTTCTATCCAGGGAACGTAACTGAAATAGGTGAAATGCAGATATATAACACTAAGAATCCTTTACCTATATGGTTACTTTCTTCAGTCCATGATAACAAATTTGCTTTGCCTAGAATAACATAACAAAATTGAAATTTCCTCAAAGGTGGTAGAACCTTCTCCAACAGTAGCTATCTTCTGCACCTCTGATATTGGGGCATGGCTTGGAAAGGGTTCAGAACACTGAGAACATGGAAGGCCCAAGGGATGGCTTAGGATTTGCTTCTTAATTAAGAATTCTGATGGAGTCTAAAAACCTGCATTAATGAAGACCACAAAGAAATAGATATGCAGAATACATCCAAGTCTTGCAGGATCTGTCTTCTTTGTAACTCAAACTTCAGCAGTGTACAAGTTTTCATTAGCTTTGTAACTAATAGTGACAAAATAACTCAATATCTTGAACTTTTCTAAAGGCTGTGGTGGGATTCATTAAAACCAGGGGAATGTCTTTTACCCATTACATCTCTGTGATTTGTTGGCTCTGTCTATTTCAGGCGGTGTTGAAATGTCTAACAATACATATAAACCAGAACTAATATTGTTTTGGCATTAAAGTTACTGCACGAAGAGTGATCATAATATTTGATGTGTAATTTAGCTTTGGCTATTCTTCTACCAGGATTTCTTTAGCCCTTGGAGGTTCATAATGTTCTAGGAAATGTGAATTTTCATTTTCTTAAGACAATATACTGATTTTTCTCTGACAGAAAGATGTGTGCCTTGTGTATTGTTAGCCCCAGGATGTCCTGAAGCAGATATCTGCCTCAATGGGCCTCTTCCTAGGAGACTGATATAATTAACAACTGAATATATAAATCAACCAATAAACTCACTACTGTAAGGAAAAGCTAAATTGTTTTTGTTGGGTTTTGAGCTTTGTTTTTAAAATGCTAATTTTTACCATAACTTTGAATGAAAATTTCAGGTATCATTTGCAAAAAAATCTTTTTTTTTAATGAGGTTACGGACCCAGTTCAGGTAATTGCCATCATCTTCTTCTTACCTTCTTTGCAGCCATATTCTCTCAATTTTTCTTCTTAATTCCTTTGCAGATGCATATGAACTTAATCTACCCATACTCAGAACTGGATAGATACAAATTTGGGCTGAAATGAAAAACCCCTTTATAAAGCTCAAGTGCCAGTCAGAGGTTATTCACATTCTATCAGGCAGCTACCTACTCACATCCCTATGCAGAAGGAATCTGAATCTCAAATTCATAAGCACACCTTTCTTTTACATTGAAATTATATATTTAAAGCTTTTAAAATTTCCTCTTGCCTTACAGCTGTATCTGTGTATCTGGCCATGTAACACTGAAAATACTTCAAGAGAAGCTTGAAGAATGGTGTCACCTGGAGTAATTGCAGAGTCAGGTATCTGGCATCAGTGTACAATTTGTCTGAGGAAAATGGAACACTATTTTCAAAGATTATAATAGTATCTTGCAGTTTACCTGTGAAATTTTTGCCTAGATAAGTAAGTAATTCTGATAAAGATTAAAATCAGGTGTTTTCCATCTAAAATTGGATATTTCTCCAGTAATCTATTGAACTTTCTATTGCTTATGGTTCTAATCTCAAACCTAGACTGGGACTTTCGGCAGGTCTGTGTGTCATAGTTTTTGAACACTTTTTCCATGAGACATTCCAGGTGATTTATAAATGCCTTCTGCAATACCCAAAGAAACCTATTTCTTTGTTACTGCTAAGATTTTCATGCAAAGATCTAGAGAAAAGAATTCAGAATTATAATTTAGATAGCTCAGGGTCATAGAAGTTTTTGTAATCTCATTTAATGTAGTTCTCACATCTCATTAGAATATGGAAAAAAATAGTATTTGATGAAGCATTCAAAGTCCAGAAAAAATAATTATGGTGTCTGGAACATTTAGATCATGAAATAATGTATAATAAATAAGTTACTTTTATTTATTTGTTATATTGCTGCTGTTACTGTTAGGCCCAAATGTAGATAAAGTGTTCATCCAGCAGTAGGGCAAAAATGACAATTTGTTAAAAAATGTTATGTTGCTTTTTGTGTATATATACACACAAAATATATACACACATATATATACACATGTAAAATCACTGATGTGATTGTTGATTTGTACCATTAAAATAAAGAATATGACACTCTTAAGTTTTAGAAGTATCTCATCAGTGACAAAATCTGTGGGAGCAAAAAGTAAAATTGCAGGATTGAATGAAAGCAACAAAAATATCACAGGATACATGAATATTATATACCTATATTATTTATTACATGAATATTATCCTCAAGTCAGTTTAGTCACAGTATCTTTTAAAAAATTTTAACTAGCTAACTTTTCCTGTAAGTAACTGAATTAGCTGAATGTCAATAAGTAAACATAGAGAAGACTCAGATGAACTGCCATTTTGTTGTGTTAAGAAAACTTGGCATGGCCAAATAAACACTTGACACAGAAGGAGCCTCACTTGATCTCTCCCTTCCTTTCAGAGAAGATGGGAGCAAGATTTGGCCATGATCTTATCACACTAGAAACATATTTTTTGATTTTTAAAGAAAAAAATTAGATCTTTTAACAGCTGAGTCAAATGAAAAATAAGCCATGTATGCTTAGTAATAAGCATGTTTCAAATTACTTCAACGGACTTCATGTGCTTTCTCATACAAAAGACAATTTGAGATCCTCAGATGAGAAAATGAATCCTATCTACAGTTTGTCCAGAGAATTATTGTTATTGAGGAAACAATTTTTGTTTAGTAAATACATATTTATAGGATAATTGATGTCTCTGGTAAATAATATATGATATGTTAATATGATTAATTTCCACCATTCATTTCTAAATTAGCTAAATATGTATTTAACAAACTTACTTCTGAGACGAGCTTAATCACCCATGGGCAAAAAGAAGATTAAAATTGAAACAACAGGATACATTATGTTTTGTTGTCAAAACAAACCAAAACAAAATCCAATTCATAATTTTCCTTGCTAAAGGAACTGTCATTTTATGCCTGCACAGAAACAATGAAAAAATCCTTGGCCTCATCAAATGACAAAAGCTAAGAATCTGAACTATTATTTTCAAGGAAAATATAAAGTTATAAGGAAGAATATGTCCCCTGGAATCAAACCATGAAGTATCTGAGAAAAGTCTAAAGCAGGACCACCTACCATTAGCCCTTTTTTGTTACAGGCTATCCAAACAACTCTGTGAGTAGAACCATGCAGTTATCAGACCAAAATACTAATTACTATATTAATGGTTTATCATTGATTCATAAATTTAACTTGTAAAAGACAGCATTGATTGCTATACATAAAGTGATTCAAACTGCTTTCTCATAAAGCAAGAAACAGATATTTTTTTTTCTTTTGGAGGGAGGAAGTCAGTTCAATAGAAGCAAGGGTAAATTTCAGTGGCAGGAAGAATGTCTTCTGGGAATATCATTTACACTTGTGAAGTTTGCTAGAAGATATACTAAGTCATCCTACAAAAATTATACTCCTCCTTAAATGTGATTTTAGGATGGAGCTGTTTGGAATGCAAAATTTATTTAATAAGAAAAATTAAGACTAGGGAAGAGTAAAGTCTGTGATTTTAAAACATTTACATTTTATTATACCATCAAATATTACCTACCTCTTGGGTCACAGAAAATATGCCTGTATTTAATCACTAATATGCTTTGGATTACTTTCTACCCTATTTAGTGATTATTGTGTTTACTTTGCATAATACAAAAGTAGTGTATTACATGATAGAGCCAGGCACCTCAGTGAAGAGAGTTAGAAATGAGAAACAACAAGCCAGTAAACATGGTTTCTCAGAAAAGCAAAGGACTGAAATTTCTAAAGGCATGTGGATGGATAAGAAGAAGATGGACGCTAACTCTAGATAAATGTACACACTGCTTAAGCCTTACAAGTCTTAGACAGATTTCTAAGATCAGTGGTGGACAAGTAAGTTGGCAAACTAAAAATCAACAGAGTCCAGACAGGGAGAAATGCATTAAAAAACCTTTGAAGAAAGAAATGAAAAACTCTCCCTTGGAAAAGAATTTCTGAATCATCTAAAGGTGTTGTAGCCTTTATAGTTTTTAATTTTTTCTACTGTCCTTTCATGGAGTCATAATACATTTGAAATGCCTTCAGACAACCTCCCCCAAAAAGTTACTGTCAATATTGTGAGCCAACAGCTCATGTGTTGACCAAAATAGCAGCTACCCTGTAGTAACTTCCAGCACCCAGTAAACCCAGTTTAATCTAACTTATGTAAAATGCAATATGCAATGAACTCACACATAAACCAGATCTGAATGTCTTCCTCTCTTGCTGCCTGCAATCCTAATAAATTGCTATTCCTGTTTAATTAATATATAGGCTAACATGGAATACCAATAATTTGGTATTCCATGTTAGCCTATATATTAGCATTCAGGATGCCATTCCCCTCAGGACAAAATATGGTGTGTGCAGATGGCATTCAAAAACGGTGTGTGTGGTTTCAGCTCTGGGTTGGGGATGGTGGTCATCACTCCCCCAGAAGTCGACTAGATTGTCCAGATGAAACAGACACCACTGTGGAGTAAAACCCCCCACATTTTAAAGCTACTCTGTGGACTTCAGACTTGGAGTAGAATTTAATCTTGTGCTGCCACTCTCCAGGGTGGGGTTCATTTTTCCCTAAGTTGCTTGTCAGACTTCGTATGTGGTCAGAGGAAAGTCACTGAGCAAATGATAAATCAAAGATTAGTCTTGTTACTGACCTTTTTCCTAACAACCTGGGAGAAGGTTGGACTTGATAATCTTAGAGGTCTTTTCCAACCTTAATGATTCTATGATTCTGTTCTATGATTCTATGAAGCATGTGTGCATGCTGCCCACTTTAAAGTGAGTCAAGTGACTGATTTCCACTCCTGCAATTCAGGATCTGTGACCACCTCTGTTATTGACAGAGGTTTGGTAAAGCCATGGGAAGATTTGCGACAATGCCACATTGAGTGATTTTCTACATTCCTGTGATATACTTAGGGAAAAGAAAAATACTTTATACTCTTTCTTCAAATTCTTCCCTAAAATTCTCCCTGAATGTCATCTGGATACCTGAGAAACACACAGTGCCAACTGGGTGTATTTGTTGATATGCACTGGGTCTACTTGGCTATAGTACAAACACGTGAACACCACTGCTCATGTCTGTGATTCAGGTACTCTGTTACCCATGTCCACCATGTCTCCACACTGTCTAGTTGGCATTAAATGGCAGCAATGGGTGCCAGCAAGAATTCTTGCTGTTTGTGGCGACTGAAGTGACCTCACACCATCCCAGTGCTGCCTCGACTGCACTGAGTGCACAGGGGACTTGGGGCTGCAAAAGGGAATGGGTTATACTCTGTGCATTTCAGAGATATCTTGGCCCATCGATGTCTATGCCACAGGGGATAAGCACGTTATGGACAGACTTTGAGAAATGGATGTGTTTTCAACAAACAGTGAAGTTGAAATGGGTTGTATTATGCCCATCACAGCTTTGCTGTGTTTACACAGTGGTAAGAGAAATTGAGATTTCGGTCTTCAGCTGGGGCTTTTCAGATTGAGAGAAACAGTAAAACCCAGATAAGATAATAAAGTTGCAATTTATAGTCTCTGGTTTTAAATTACAAATTCCCTAAAATGAAGATTGCACTTTCTATGCTTCCTAACACAGTGACCTAACTCAAGGGTGAGTGGATGAAGTCTTTTTTTTTAACACAGTCCCTCCTAAAGCTCAGCATCAATGTCTCAAAGCTTTTTCTTTGGTTTAGGTTCGTTTGAAATGTCTGTCGAATTATCAGGTTTTTTCTACAACTGAAGAGTAAGAGAAAACAAAAAAAGCAACTTTATCTTTAGAAAATGAAAAGCTTTCAATTTTTTCTTTGCATCTCAAACCCACCTCTACCTTTGCTTCAGACAAAATAAAACAAACTCTATTTTTCAGTTGCACCATATTGCCAGAAGTAACTAGTTCTGCAAACATTTTTTGTAGTTGACCAAAGAAATACGTACTGACGAACTGCACTCCTAAGAGATTGCCTCAATATCACAGGAAGGTCTGTAGCAGACTTGAAATAGAAGTGTAAAGTGCTGGCTGCAATTCCCACATGTACCTTTATCAAAAAAAGGGAAAAAAACCCCAAACCACCAAACTCTCATTCTCCTGGATATGAATAATTTGCTTGTTATTTTTGAAGCTCTTCTTATTTCAGCTGTTTTGGAGGCTTGAATGACTTTTTGTTAAATGAACTTTGCAGATTCAGGTCTGGGTTCTTTTTCCAAAGTACAGTTTCCTATTCTCTCAAGTAATACATTCAGATAAGATACAGCCTCTGAAAACTTTCGCAATGTGATTGAAATATTCTTACTCATTAAAATGTTTGACCTTGTGAGTTAAGGAAATGTTTGGTATGGTTTTGTGTTATATATTT